CTCAGAGAAAATGCATGCACTGAGTCTTCTAGAGTTTGGTAGCATGCTCAATAGGCAGCAGCTTGTTGGACATGGTCAGTTAATTCTGGGGGCCAGCAACAGGCATCTCATAGGCACCAAGCCAAGTGGACCAGGGTTCAAACCTTGGTTCTGATGCTCACCTGTGCGATCTGGGCCTGGACTTATTCTCCTCCTCTAGATATGGGATACGGCTACCATTCTAAGGCTATGGCTAGCATAGGAGGTTTTCAGTTACAAGTACTCCCTTTGAAATTAGAGGAGCCAGCACGGCCTGTCTCCAGGTATGAGGCATAGCCACTCCAGGGTCGGTGGCACTGAATTACGTACAGTTCATGGCTGTCTTAGCAGATGTTGCCTTCTAACCAGGTGCCACTGTCAGAGTTGGGAAAAGAGTTGTGAGTTAGGCAACGCTGATACGTGACTTTGCTGAAAAATGACACAAATGTACCCCTGACCAAGCTGCCTGATATTTTACTGTAACAAGTTCCTGACTTCCGTTTTCTTGCGAGAGCCCTCTAGAGTTCTTTTAACCTTCCCTTTTGCTTGCTCTTAAAGAAAACGGACTGGGGATTTAGCTCAGTGGTGTAAGCACCTGCCTGCCAAGTGTGAGGTTGTGAGTGTGATCCCCAGTACCAAATAAATAAATAAATAAATAAAACAAAGCAAAACTTCCAAAGTAGACAGAGGAATGATATCATGCTCTATAACAAGACTCTAATATGTCTTTGGTGACATCTGGTTTTAATTTAATGTTACAAATTATTAAACCATGCCAAAAATGACATCTACCTACATTGCCACATGGCCTGCTATCGTGGAGTACATGAGCAGTTCTGGGATCACACTTGGATAGCATCTGTCTTGGCTAATATCTCAAGAGCATTATAAAAATCACCTGTATGTTTCTCATTTCAGAGCTTTACACTGTGTGTGCAAACCCTGCACAGCATTAGAGCAACACTGTGTGAAACAGAAAGCCCTACAAGGATTTGCAGAGAATAGGTCATACTCTAGAAGGATTTCCTTAGTCATGTAGCTATTAGATTCAGTATTTTGAATTTGGTTCTTTAAATTTTTTTTGTCTTATTCTGGATAACTTGGGAACGACTAAGCTGTAGGATGCTGGCAAGTGTTTATTAAAACCCTGGGACTAAATGAGTGAAAAAGAGCTACACGTCACCACACCACTTGGCCACTGTCTCCAAACCCTCTGTCCTGTCTGCTCCGAGGATGCCTTTCCCTGAGGTTGTCTCCCTGAAGGTGCACAACATGGTTTACCTCTACAGGTGTAAGTGAGGCTTAGATGGCATTTTTACTTGTTTTCATCCCCATTGCTTTATCTATGTAAGTTAAATTGTATTTAAGATCAAAGGGATCCCATATAGCCACAGCTTGTAATGGGCAAACGATTTGGGCCTGAGTCGTGCGCACGCGCGCACACACACACACACACACACACACACACACAGCCCCAGCTGGGGATACTTCCTGTCCTCTACTGTTCTCCAATCACCAACCAGAAAAGCTTGAACAGATTCCTTTCTTGCTGGGAAAAGGTTTCTGATGGAAGAGACGGAAATCCCAAAGCTTGATGGGGTACAGGGAGAGGATTACAACTCACAAGTGTTTCTAACAGCTTATGAAAACAAACTTAAGAAACACAAACCTTTCCTTTTGCAGTCCAGCGTTTGTATGGGGAACACGTAATTGTGGCACAGAGTTGAGTCTGCCTCGGGCCTGGTGATCGGGGGTCTCCCTGACACTTGGGGCTTTGGGTCCAGTGGCTCCTTTTCATCTTCGTTACACAACACTTCGGGTTTCAGCTGCAGCAGCTTTTTATTTTTCAGAGCTTGTGGGCTTTCACACTTGGCGTAGTTCCCCAAATTTCGGTTCCTTGGCACTTGCAACATAGAAACGAGCGTCTCTATCTCACAGGTACAGTGCCAGGGGTTGTCATACAGACGCAGGTAGCTCAGGAGAGGCGTGTAGATGAACACCTCCTCTGTTAGGACTTTGATCTGGTTGTGCTGCAGTAAGAGAGTGGTGAGTTTTTTTAAACCGAAGAATGCCTCGCTCTCGATTTTGGAGATCTCGTTCTGCTGCAGATCCAGGCTCTTTAGCCTTTTAAACTTGGAAAACATGTTGTTCTTTAATACACGAATCTTGTTTCTTGCTAACAGCATGTGCAGCAGATCTTGAGGCCAGGCAGGAAGCACGTAAACTAATTTTCTTTCCTGGCAGTCTAAGTATTTCTCGTAGAGATAGGTGTACACATCGCAGGAGTGGCCTGGTGCATAGCGTTTGACAGGGTGGGAGCCCCTCCGGCTGCCCGCTGCCCGCCCATAGATGGCACGGCTTCGGGCATTGCCAGGGCTGGCCCTGCGCAGCGGCTCAGCAGCCCTGCAGAAGCACAGTAGGGTGACCAGAGTGACCACACGCATCCTGACATCCAGCTGGTCCCGATTCTTGGGTGTGACAGATGGAGCCAAGAACGTATTCCTCTGAATGCCCTTCAGGAACAGTAAGGCCCAGCTGGGGATGTGGAGTCCCTAGGTTGGAATAGGGAAAAAAAAAAATTAAAAGTTGAAGACCATTGGGAACATGGCATGTGACAGAAATAACTTGTTTTTAGGCAAAGGCCTTCTGGTTTAAAACATCGCTCCCAGATCAGTGGTGCAGAGAGCTGCTTGTCTTCTTACTGGCTTGGTGGGCCGCCAGATGTTGCGGCCCTGGGTCTGAGTGCGCTGTCACCTGCCCGTGTGCCTATGTGACCCCAACTGTTCTTCTCCCTTAGGACCTTTAGGACCAGTGTTACCAAGACTTAGACTCGGGTGTGATCCCCTGAGCTTAGGTTTTCCTTTTCTTCTTGCCTCCCAGGCACCAGTCAGGAGCACATGGCCCTGGAATTCTGGAATGCTCAGACAAGATGACGCCATCTTTGTCTTCCACACATCGGGCCCAATCGTCACCCGCTCGGGGAAGCCTTGTCATTTGGGGGTTTATTTAAAATCGCACTCCCTCCCCACAGCCAGGCACTCCTTGTTTCATTTTTCCCCACTAAATCTATCAGTATCTATTAAAGTGAATGTTTAAGTTCTTTCTTATGCTGTTAGATTCCTCTAAATAGAAAATAAATTGCCTAAAGGGAAGGATTTTTGTCTGTTTTGCTCATTACTGTATTTCCTTGATAAATACTAGTTTTCTGTATGAATTATGCTCATCTAAGTATTCTATTTCATGACATTCATCTCATAAACTAATTTACATTGTTTTGAGAATGTTGTTAAGTTTTACTGGTGACTTCCAAGATCTGCATATTTTTAAGAATTTTCACATTTTTTAATTCAGAAAATATTTCTGGTTTGCATTTATCTTTTAGGACACAGTCCACTCTTGGCAAAGGAAGAAATGTTCAAAATGGATTTTTAACTAATAACACGTCTGTTGTCAGTGTGGGGCCGTGGTTACGAGTGGCAGATGCGTTTTCTTTTCACTGCAGCAGCTCACGTGCCAGGACCACCCTGGCCCGCAGCTTTCCTGCTTTCCTCAAGGTCCTCCTATGCACTGGTTTGTGTGTCTTCCCCCCATGGCTCCCAGGCCTCTGACCGTGTCACACTGCCATCTGGCTCTTCGTGTGCACGCCTGTCTCCTTTGAAGGACCATACGCTGTGCAGTGGCCTCTGGTCCCAGAGCTGATCAGGATTAGGCCTTTCCAACCCTTCACTTCTGTGCCTGCGATTTGTTATGATCTGGCTGTAAGCTGTGGAGCAGAACCTAAAAAAACCACAATGAATACTTTATTATTATGCACATTGAAGTATTTGGGGCAAAGTGTCTGTGCCTGCAACTTACTCTGAAACGCATAAAAAAGAGGTATGAAGAATGGATTGAAAAATGGTTGGTGTACATATGATAAGCAAATACAATGAAATGCAAGTTATAATCTAGGTGGTGGAGATAAAGGTATTAATTAGGCTGTTTTCTTTTCTTTTTATTTAAGGAGAAAAAGGAAAAAAAAACCAAAAAGGTTACAGTATATAAACAGTAAGAATAAACAGTAAATAAACAGTAAGAAATCACTAATTAATAGATTACATATTATCATTATGCTGTTTTCATATATTTTGTGTATGTTTGAAAATTTTCATAATGTTAAAACAGAAAAAGGTGTGCACAAAAGAGCAGGTTTGGTTTTTTTCTTCATATTTTTTAGAGTAGTATTTCTCTTTTCTTCTTCCTATAACTCTCAAACATGTATATGTATACATTATATATATAGTTTTTGAAGCCCAAATATGAGATATGATTGAAAAATAGTGCTTAACTTAAAAAATTATTACAGTAAAAGACAATGGTCATTGATCCCCCTGAAAATACTCCCCTTGCTTCAAACACACTGTCTCATCACCCCTGCCACTTCCTGAAGCAGTTCTGGAGGTCCTTTTCTGTGTTTTGAGTTGCACTATCTCGGCTGCCTGGATGTCTTGAATTGATTGAAAAAGGTATCTTTCACAGTAACTTTGACTTTAAGAGCCACAGGTTGCACAGTGCCAGATCTGGTAGATGAATAAGGTTGAAGAGGATACAGCATTATGTTTTTATGACCCTGCCTTTCTGTTGGATGGCACTCAGCACATTCACTGTAGTTTTGATCACTCGTCATGATGACTTATGGAAGAGGACTCCCAGAACTCCTCAGAAAATGGCAAGAAGGATGGAACACATGTATTCAGAATGAGGAGGGTTAATGGCAATGTGTCTTTTACTGTAGTAATTTTTAAATTTAAACATTCATATACTTTTTGATCACTTCTTGAAGCTGTTTCCATGGGCAAGGAAATCTGTGTACTTAGACACATTACTTGCTAAGGTTTATGTTTGTTTTCTAATGAATACATCACATTGAGTACAAGATGGAAAAGCCTTAAATTTAAGATTGGTAATATGTTTCTTAGTAATATATAACTTGTTTGATTTAGGTCACTGTAAAAACTTGCAAGAGCTGAATGTCTCTGACTGTCCAACACTCACAGTGAGTATAAGCAGCTTTTTAAAACTGTTGTTTATATAAATGCCCTGGAAACCCAATATGTAGAGTGTATGCCTATGTGTACACTGAAAATTTTAGCGAGATGACAGACTCCTCTGAATGGTTTTCATGGCTACTGATGGCTGTCCTAAAGGGGATGCAAATGAACATATATCTCTCTGCCTCCTCCCTGGTCCCTGTCCCCAGGTCTTGCCTCTGCTCCGATTTAATCTGTGGGCACATAATACTTAGCAGCAGGCAGATCCGTGTCCTGCACGCCCACCAGTGTCACACTTCTGTCCTCTATGCTACTCGATAAAGTTAAAGTACCTTAATATGACTGTGATTGGGGTCCCCGTGTCAGGCCTGTGTTCCTTCCCCGCCCTGTCTTGTCCCCACTGCGGTGTGCACAGAAGCTTCAGCAGCTGTGTTCCTTGCTGCACACACCAAGCTGCTCTGTGCACTTTCACGCTCACTCGTGCTGCAAGACTCTTCCTCTTAGTCCCCGAGCAGCCCATCTCTAGGTCTCACTTTACCCATCACTTCCTCTACTAGAATGTGAGGTCTGGGGTCACTGTGCTTCTCCTCCCCTAACTGTAGTGCTTCTGCCTCCACTAACTTAAGAGACCCAAAGGGCAGGGTACAGATCTTACTCTCTAGTAGCACACAGCACAGACTTCAGAATGTAGGACTCTTTCAAATATTTAATGTCTCTTCTGGAGATGTCTAGTATGCAATGGACCCAAACTGAATATTCCATTTTGGATTAATGCGTGTGTGTAAATTGTGATTAATATTATAAGAGTTATAAGATCAACTTACAGGGAAAGTCTGAGAGGAGGACTTACATCACAGTGTGTGTAGTCTTGAGGAACCCCACACACTGGGCTATTAAGTTTACCCAAAGTGAATAATTTAATAGTTTGGGTACATTCACAGAATTGTGCAACCATCATCACAACTAATTTTAGAACATGTTTCCCGCAGAACTCACTCCCTGCCTTCCAGTCACCCCCATTTCCTCCCAACCTCTAGTCCAGTGCAATTCCATTTACTTCTGGTCAGAATTGACTGTCCTCCTCCTGAGTTACGTCTGTGCTATCAATACTTCAGCATCTATGTTCTTTCTTGCACTTAGGTAATATATATATATATATATATATATATATATATATATATATATCTACTCTTAGAATGAAGACCTCTTTGAAACTCTGCCTTTAGTAATTTTTCCCATAAAACTTATCCTTTTGTTTTCACAGCAAAACATTTATCTGAAGGACAAGACATAAATAAATATGCACATGAAAATATTAAAACCTTCAGAACTTGTCCACTCCTTATCCCAATCAAGCATTTGATTGATTGTTCGGTTTAGGGATTTAAAGTAGTGATCTGGTTTCTGTCCACCATACCATAGAGAACGGCTTTAGATTAAGCCAGCTAAGAATCTTCCCAGTGGCACATTATTTAACATAAACAAGCTGCTGCTTCATGTTCAAAAGAGCCCTAGAGATGGAGGAATAGACACGTCAAGACCACAAGAGAGGAAAAATGTTCCCCTGGTTGTAATTTCTCCACCAGCAAAGCGAACATGGGCTCCTTCGTTGAGAGAGATTTAAAATCTTTTCTCTCATACTCTTCATGTGACTACAGCGAGGTGTCTTGTCAAATGGACTTGCTCCTTCTGCGGCTATGTTTAGCGCCTAGTATGTTAAAGATATTACGATAGGTGTTGGGGAAATTTTTAAAGGAATTTGTTTTCAGTTCTTGCCCTCAGGGAGCTTCTGTTCGAACCCACTTTTGTAAAGATCATATTCTTGGAATTTGGGTTTTCTAGTAGGAAAGCCAATGCAGTGCACCTGTGAGGACCAGCATTTGTTCAATTTTGGAGTCTCTAAAGGGGTCATAATCTTATCCAGCTACTTCCTACTGTTGTTTTCCCTTTTGAGACATAGACTGGGAGAGAGGCTTCCATTGAAGGAGTCGGATGACATTCACTCAAAGGACTTTGACTTCTAACTTTGTCTTATGAAATGTATTACATCCAAGAGGATTTGTGTACTGCACACCATGGACAAATTCATAAAGAATTCTGCACTTGAGCAGTTTTTGCATTTATACCTTTCAGTACTTGGGGGTCGCACCTTGATCTCTTCAATACTGAGAACCGAGCGGTGTGCACGTGTTCACAGGTCCAGAGTCCTCCAGACAGGAAAATGCAGAGGAGGAAATGCTTTCCCGTCTCGTGTAGAGTCAGGCTCCTGTGGTGTACTCTCTCCTCCTGCTCCTCACATTTTTATCTTTTCTGTGACTGCCCCTTTTATGGCGGATATGCTACCTTTCCCTCCTTTCCTTGCTGTATCTTATTTGCTAAGGTCTTTCAAAAAGGTCTTTCACAATCACTTCAACTCCTGATGGATGCTTTGAGCTGTTTTTCCACCCTTTAAAAATGTATGTTTTTATTCCTGCCTATTAATTTTACAAAATATTGGGGCTCTTGTGGTGTTTTGATATAACATATTTTGATCATATTTATTCCCCAGTACCCTCTCTTACACTTTTTCCCTGTTAATATTACTCCTTTCCTCTTATCTAATAATAGTTTCTCTCACACTGAGCATTGTAAAGCATATTTATATGTCTGTATTAAACTGCAATGTCAAGAACAATGGTTCTTCACCCCCATTTTTTTGGGAGTGGGGTGAAATTGTACTATCAGTATACACCTTAGTTGTACATACACATTCAAATTATCTGCCTCGGTGATGGACTAGCTGGAAAATTCCTGGCAGCTGGCTGGCATGGTGAGACCACAGGGGTCCTCAGGGGCCCTGCGTGTTAGCCCTGTGGCACCAGCCTGCAGACCCGCTGAGATCTGCAGTTTGCATGGGCACTCGACCCATCTCAGGTGTGGTTTGCCACCTTGGACATGGACCAGTTTCTTCCTGAATGTGACAGGGGCTCTGACCTGTGAATTTTGTTGTTTTAAATGTCCATGAATACCGGAAATGGTAAGGAATGGAACATTAAACTGGCCAGGATCCTGCTGAAACTCGGTTTTGCCAACAGCAGTAATGCTACAAGTGTTTGAGTCACAGCTGTAGCCTGGTGATGCTAACCTCTGCCAGCCAGAGACACCGCAGTTGTTCTTTGCAGGACTGATGGCGTCAAACATTGTACGGCCATCCGTATTTAAAGCTGGCTTGCCTACTGGTGTTCAACAACCATCATTAAGTGGATAATCTGTTATTGCTCAGTTTCCTGTAGTGACCCATGAGACATACCCCATTTCACAATCAGAGTTTGATGATCATGTGGTCTTACAAGTTTCATGTTAGGGCCAGTGTTTGCAAACACTGTTTTTAAGTCTCATGTCTGTCTGTCTGTCTGTCTGTCTCTTTCTTTTTCTTTCTCCTTTTCCTTCTTCCCCTTTTATTTTTGTGATACTGATGCTTGAACCCAGGGCCTTAGTTCTGAGTTACCTCACCAGTCCTTTTTAAAAAGTTTGAATTTTGAGGCAAGATCTCCCTGAGTTGTAATGTTTCCCAGGCTGGGCTCAAACTTTGAATCCTCCTGCCTCTGCCTCCCCGAGTTCTGGGTACAGGCATGAGCCTCCACACCTGGGTCCAGTCGCACCATGCTCTGTCTCACCTCTGAGTTTAGCACCAACACTGAATTTCATGCCCAATTTGTATATACCCTACATTTTTTGTCAGGCCTTCTCAAAGTTATGACTTTGATGAGAACCTGTTCAGCTATTTTAACATATTCAGTATCCGAACCACTGAATTTAATTACATAGAGACACCTACCTATATATAAATACATATGTGTGAATAAGAATGTTTTTGATGAAGGCCAGTTGTTGAAAGCACTTATTATTTCTGTTTTACAGAATGACTGCAGCCCAAAGAGTTAGGCGGGTCTGACACTTCGATACTTTTGCTCCAATGTCCTATCACAGAATGGAGCTTATGAAATATCATCTACTAAGGAAACTGCATTGTGATGGGACTTGTATTTCCAAAGAAAGGGAAAAAGAGAGAGGAATGAAGCTTCAGGGGACACTAGTAGCTTCTATTTAATTTGATTTGAACGATTACCAAAAACTCCAAAGAGACCACGACTTGCATGTACTGTCCATTTTCTGGGCCAGAAAGAAAGCGATGAGGAGGAGGTCTTGGGGAAGTTGCCAGGCTTGTTAGGGTTGGTGTGATTCTCCCGTCTGTTTCTTATACAGGATGAATTAATGAGGCACATTTCCGAGGGCTGCCCCGGAATCCTGTATCTCAACCTGTCCAACACGACCATCACCAACAGGACGATGCGACTCCTGCCCAGGTAACGCTTGTGTCCCTGTCCTACGCTGAGGACAGTTATGCCCGGCTCTGCTCGGGCTTCTCCTAGTGCCCCCTCCAAAGGCAGCGCTCCCTTTGCCCACACCCTGCCGCTGTGGCAGTTTGGTCACTGGTCTTGCACCATGGCCAGCTTTCTGTCCCTCTTGTGGCCACATGCCCAACAGCTCAGCTTAGATCTTGCCCGTCTCTTCCTGGTCCCTCTCCTGGCTTTGGAGCCTGGCACCTAAATTCCAGTCTGGCATCTGGGAACTCCCTGTTCCAGAACTCCAGCATGCCCTCCACCTTGACCGCCACTGTCCCAGGCACCCTGTGCCATGCTCGGGGTTTCTGCTGGGACCCGCCGCTTCCAGGGAACCTGGCACCTTGGATTTGACAAGCTCAGGCATGGGTGTCGCTTCTTGAGCCAGGACTCCTTGGGAGAAGGGACAGAGGAATGTGACTGTGGATAGAACACTCCAGTATTTTAAAAATACTAATTAAGAAGAATATACAGTTGTATTGGAAGTCAAATTTGAATTTGGGAAAACATTTCTGAAACTATTGTGTAAGAATGAGCTATTTTTGAAAATATAACTTTTTGCATTCCTCTGAAAAATAACGGTGCCAATGCTTAGAAAAGCTTAAACAGTGAAAATGCTGGATGTTTAATTTTCTTTATCTTGTGGCTCCAACAATTTTCCACAAACACAGACATCAAAAGAGCGGCCCCATATTTTCTGTTTATCCTGTTAATTGAAGTAGGGTTTTATTTAGTTAAATCTATGAAAACTTCCTTTGGAATCTCTTCTGAAACATTTAAACAGAATCTCCCCCCTCCCCACCGGGCATTTAATGTGCACTTATTTTTTTCTTATGTATTTTATTACTCAAGTATATAACCAATCTAAAATGCATTTTTTGTTGATGAATGAAGCAGTGATCTAAGCTAGGGGTCAGCAAGCTACAACCCATGGAGCCCAAGTCTGATTTTGTGTAGTCCACCAGCCAAGAACAGCTTTATATTTTCAGAGCTGTTAAATAGCCAATCAGTTATCCAGCATCACTAATTAAGAAAATCTTTCATCAAATGAAAGGGGATTCTTCTGTGTATCTTTAAAGTTCTTATATAGGCAATATGTACTTAAAATTCATCACTTTCTATTGTTTTTCTGCATCTTACTTTATCTGTGTTCTCGAGGTTATTTATATTTACTGTGTCACTTTGATGAAATGCTTCTGATTGGCGTGACTCTCACTTGTAGCTTGGAATTGGCCAATTGGGAATATTCCACACCAGGGAAAAATGAAGGCATGATTTATTGTTTTGTTGATTGTTTAGACTTAAGAAAGTGATGGAAAAGACAAATAAAGCAAATGAAATTCAAAAGCATGGAATGACTGTAGTCAAACATTGTACGTAGCACAAAAACTTGAGAAATAGTCTTTTAAAATTATTGTCTGAGTCAGCAAAGAAGGCACTCATATCACTGATGGAGAGAGGGCATGTGCCTGTGTTCTCTAACGCACTATGTAAGTGGACACAATGGAGGAATAAGTGAGCATCATGTAACACACATGGAACTGCGCTCACTGCTCAGTCACAGCTATTTGTTGGCTGGCTACACTTACAAAAGTGGGGCAAATCACTGAAAGCATTTGTAGAACTGAGGTCCATGTAGAATTTGCAGTAAAACATATTAAGTGTTTCATTATTATTATTTGAAAATTGGATGCTACATGATCTTCATGTATGTACAAGATAAATTTATTTATTTATTTATTTATTTATTTATTTATTTATTTATTTATTTTGGTGCTGGGAATTAAACTCAGGACCTTGCACTTGCCAGGTAGGTGCTATGCCACTGAGCTATATTCCCAGCCCAAGATAAAACTGTATAATACTCATTCAACTAAAAAATTATAGTAAGCTTATACACATTTACATGGACTTTCTTTCTCTTTTTTTCTTTACTTTCTGTCTTTCTTTCTCTCTTTCTTTCTTTCTTTTTTTGGGAGGGGGAGCCAATTGTTAAGTGTTTACCAGTACACTGATACTTAAAGATAAACTAGATGAACTAGGAACTCATTTATATTGTTGTAATATTTGATCTTCCTACCAGGAATATAGCATATTTAAAAGTGTTTTTTCCAAAATTCTTAAACATCTCAACAAAATTTTGTTTTATTCATGTTGATAGTTTGTCAAAGTTGTTTCTACATATGCATCTTTATTAATTGTTATGAATAGTAGTAGCCTTTTATTATATTTTATTACTGTTTCTAAGTTCATTTTTGAACTTGAGTATGATATATGGGTATCATTTTATGCTTCATTTGAATGATTTAATTGATTTCTTTTAAAAGTAATAATTAGGAAAAATAATAATTAGGGCTCTGAAATTACTTCTAGATAGGAATTTTGGCAAAGCTTTTAAGATTTGGTAAGAATTATTTTCATTTTTTAAGGAAACTAATATATATTTTCTTTCTTCTTTGACCTGTAATTACTTCAAAAAGTTTTGGTTCCAAGTGGTTGATGTTTCTTTGAATAAGCATCTGCTCTTAATTATGCACTATACTCAAGAAATGTGTCTTGAATTATTTCTACTTTCTGGAATTTATTTGGATTATTTGGTGGGCTAGTTTAAAATTAATTTCAGAACATTGTCCATAAATGTATAAAATGAGAGCTTTTTTTAGAGAAAAAATTCTGTGAATGTAAGCATATATACATAGTCTCTTGATATGTCATAGTTCAAAAGTAATATATTAGTTGCCTATTATAATCAAACTTCTCTTAATTTGTGATGTTATTTTATACATAAAGATTAATAAGTACCATGTTTCATTATAAAATATAGCATTTATGCATGCAAAATTATATCTTTTTCATAGCTGATACTTTTTCATAAATTATTTTTAATCTACCATAATTATCTTTGCTATCTGTTGTTGTGATATTTGTGAAATAACTTTATGTACTCCTGTGTTTTTAACCTCTGTGTTACTGAATTTTAGTTTTGTCTTTTATATGTAGCATATAGCTAACTTCTATTTTAAAAATTTCCATTTCTTTACCTTTTGAAGAGGAAATTTGAAAGTTCAATACTTCTTGTCAAAATTGAATGTATGGTCTTACTTTTTTCTCCTTTTACATTTTGATTTTTACATTACTGCATTGTACCCAGTGTTTCTGCCTTTTCCTGTGTGAACTATGTTGCTTAGTTTTGTGACATGAAGGCCTTTGAAAGGCAGGTACAGATGCTATGTGCATTCTAACTACTGGCCATTTGTCTGTTTTTCTTCAAATGGACTTTAGCATGCATTTGTCTGATTATCAAAGCTGAGATGACGCTAAGACTTGATAACGTGGAAGGATGCTGACATGTTAATTCTCTGTTTCTTTGAACTTGACAGCTTGTCTTGTCCACTCCTCTGTGTGAAAACAACTATTCTCATGAGTTTTGCTAATCATTTGACTTTCCTTTTAATACTTATTGTTGGTATTTGCACTTAATCTTGTGAATGTTACCGCGACGATCCTGTAAGCCTTAGCTGAAGCCATCCACTGACATCTCTTATTCCCAGTGACTGAGATATAATTTTAAACAGTTTTAGTAGTACACGTTCGCAGCACATTTCCATTCCGTGTGTGGAGCTGGTACACGTACAGAACACGTTTTAATTCCTCTTTCTCCGCCTTTCCTCCGCTCCCTCCCTCTCCTGATCAGAGAACCATCTGTCTCCCTATTTCCTATCATCTTTTATTTTGTTCTTTATTTATAACACGTTTCATGTAAGAGAAACCATCTGATAGTTAAGCTTGTGATTCTAATTTATTTTTCGCAAAATTGTGGTCTAAAAGTGCACCCAATTTACTACAAATGACAGGTTTAGACTGAGAAATAATTTAAAAACTTTTTCAAGAAAGATGCATGAGTGTTAGACTGTTCAAGCTTTGATCTCTGAAAATGATTAATATCCTGAAGATTGGATAACAACTTCTCTTGGTCTATCGATCTTCAGTCATGTTCTGTATTTTATCTCAAAACTTTACAAATGTTCCTCTACAAACTCAGGTTAAAGAGAAGTCAGATGCCAGAATAATTTTCTGTTCCTTCATTTGTAACCCGTTTCCTTTTTTCTGTCAGGATATTTACAAGACTTTCCTTTTCTCTGAGTATTAAAAACATTTTCAAGCTTAATTTGTTCTTTTAAGTAATTTTTCCTGGAAGATGGTAGCATCTTGTGTATTAAAACTTGAATTATTTTCTCAGCCAAGAAAGGTGTTTCTTTTTTAAAAAATGCCTATTCATATGTTCTGGGTTTAAAAACCTTTCTTTATTTTTAGATCAACTTTTATTCCTTCCTGCAAAGCTGCCATCTTTTCTCTCACATTTTTGTCTCTGTATGCATCTAAAGGCATACTGCCTTTGCTATAATAGTTGTTCTTAACATGTATTCTAGAGACAGCAATATTCTGAGAACTATCTAGCACCTGGCTGTGGCGGTGGGTAGAGGGAAGGTCTGAACTGTAGGGTTTATTGATTTCTGTGGTGTAAGAGATTCGAGTATGGCCGATTTTAAACCATTAATATGATATCATTTAATATGGGCTTTGCAGAGGATGTTAAAAATTGAACTTATAGGATGATGTTAAGCCAGCTCCAATGACACCCACAGGGGGGTCCCCTGGGGATTCCCAAGCCTCCTTCGGGAGTTCCTTGAGGTCTTCTACCCTTGTGACACAGCATTTACTCAGGGCTTTTCTTTAAACATTTCATACTAAGGTATATAAGTACATGTGTATACACACACACACACACACACACACACACATATATATATATATGAATATATATGGAAATGAATTATTTATACTTTTAAGAATCTATTGAGCTATCGTTGTGAAACAATTTAATAATAAAAGTGACATATAAAAGTATATTTGGGGTAGAAGACAAAATATTATAAAATGCACATGTGAAAATTTGAATTTAAAAAGTAGGTTTTTTAAAAACTGAAAACATTTTGCCAATTGTACTTTAAGATCACCTTTTTTCTCTAAGGAAAATTAATGTAATGTTACAGCTGTCATAACCTGTTAGGAACTTTTGAAGACAAGTGAAAATATGTCTTTCATAGGCAACAGATACAAAATTATAACCCCAAATAAGAATTTTGCTTTGGTTTTGAAAGAACATTCATAATAAGTACTAGCTGATGCTGATTTTTTTTTTTTTTGTCAAACTGAAAAAAATGTACACTGACTTTCATATAACAAAAAGACATTTACAATGAGTCTCTTATTTTGGCTGCTTTCCACTGTTTCAAACATGCTCGGGTAAATGCGAATGTTCTTCAAACTCTAACCAGAGCAACGTTAGGTGTCAGTGCTGCCACTCTCTTTGGTACTTTGTTCCAAATAAATTATTTGCCAAAAGAAAAATGCACTTTGTTTGCTCTTCTTGGCAGCGTTGATCTACCAGTTCTTTATTTGGACATTTTTCCTCACTTCTTTGGGGCTTGTTCGATTTTCGAAAGTTGAAACTGAGGGCACCCACAGCTCATGCCCTTTCCGGGAGAAGTTTTGCTTCTAAATATTTTCTGAATTTCACCCTTTCCAATCATTCCTGTTGCCACAGCCCAGGTGGCACGCTCAGTGCCTTGTCTGGCACAGTTTACCCTGGTCTCCTTCTCCTCTGTCTGTCTGCTTTGCACTGCAGGAAGGAGCAGCCTGGGAGGCTTCCTGTCACGTCTGGGCTCTTCCCTTCGGTCCCCTCACGTTCTCCTACCAGATCAGCCCGCTTAGGTCTCCCGAGAGAAACGCTTACCCAGGATCTGAGTGCCACCTGCTTCGCCTTCTCTATGACAGGAACATCCTCCTCCTGGTCTTTGCTAGCCGCCAGCCTTTACCATCTCAAGTCCCACCATCAGCCGGAAGTCCAGTGACCCCTCTTTTCTCTGTACTTTAACAGCAAGATTGATTCACTTATGCACCATCTAATGATGAACTACTATGTGTCAGTCCTGCTGGACAGACACGTGGAAGTAAAGCTATCATGATCTTTATTCTTTTCTTTCTTCTCTTTTGCAATGGTATCTCTCACTACGTTGCCCAGGCGGGCACTGAATTCCTTCGGACTCAAGCAACCCTCCAACCTCAGCCTCCTAAAGTACCCTCAGATGTGCAAAACCATGCCTGACTTTATCTTTGTTCTTTAATAAGCTTCATATGCTATAGTGGAGTGGTGTCTGCTTATTTTTCTTGTACATATATGAACCGATCCTTCCAATGGCTTGAAAACTTCTATTGTGAGGGACAATAATGCTATTTCATATGACCAATGCCCATCACAGTTGGTCAGGCAGAGAAAGCTGTTGTCTGACTGGATAACCTCAAGTTCACCTGGTGTATATGAGGCCACATGATTACATTTAAAATTTCTTTAGAATTCTGTTTTTGAAACTGTCTCCATGACACTGAAAAATCTACGACTCAACTCAGAAGCACTCATCTGCAGATTCTTTTGTAGTCTGGGCTACATCTTTGGGATTTTTAGGAGAAATTGTTATTTAAATGCATAGGTTTTTTTGTTTTATTCCTTCTAGCAGTTGGAGATCTAATACAGAAGTATCAATTCTTAACTGGAAACAAAGCCAAGAGAAAGGAAGAGATTAAAAAAAACCTCTAATTTTTGTAAGAATTTTAATTCTTAAAGATTATAGTAGTAGCATGAAAAGAAATAAACCACAAGGCGAAAAGCCACCACCCAACAAGAAATACTTAGTTATGAAATAATTAGGAAAAGATAAAAATAGACGTAAACACTCTGTCTCAAGGCAGAATTAGAATTATCAAGTGACTGCAGTGCTGGGAAAACGATGAACCAGATCTTACTCTTGGAGACCTTTCTTTGCCAAAATTCTTAATAAAAAGGATCGGTATTACATGCAACTTGCCAAGTGTGATTTCACTCTGACTGATGCTTTCTCTGTCTCCAGCAGTTTTGAGCCCACAGGCCTGTGCTGTGCTTCAAGCTCATAATGACTCTCATGAGTTCTCCAACGAGCAGCCTTTCAACCCGGGAGTCACTGTCAATGAACAGCCTTAAAAGGCTCTTAGCCTGGGATCAGTGGATCTCCCCAAAAAAGACCACAGGAGGGACCCAGGGGAGTCCATGTGTTTTTATGTGAGGAAAAATCCTTTGTATTTTCATTAAGTTCTAACTGATATGTAAGTAAAACTCAGGGTAGTATTAGCAGCCCTTGAGACTTTTTCACCTATACAAACTGCAAATATATTCTTATAATGCAGTCGTTAAGTATATTTTGAAATATGTGTAATAACTGTTAAATATCATTAGTAACTACTTTGCAGTTATTAGAACTACTTGTTATTTAATGTTAATAAAGAAAAACATGTATGTTATAATATTCTACCCATTAGGTTTTCAATTTTTTAATAATTATACATGTCAATATAATTGGTTGCCTTTATAATTTATATATTTTATTTTATGCATTTAAAAACATGCTAAGCAAGGGTGTTAAGACTTACCAGCCTGACAAGTGTGTCTGGGACCAAAAAAAAGAAGAGGAAGGAGGACCTCATTCAGTTCTCCTCTTTGCCATCTGTTAACTGATCACATGGGTGGGAAGGGGTGGAAAAACGGGCTCCGGCCGGAGTTACACCTATGGGGACCTCCCCAGGGTCTCGGAGCCATTTATGTGTACTTCTCTCGTCACATGGATCCTTCCATTAAAGGAGAGAAGAGAGTCCAGACTCCTTCCAAACAGTTCATACCGTTCTTATTTGGTGTAGCAGTAACAATAATCGCATGCATATATTGCTAAAGCTTCTACTACACCCTGAAGGTAATTGTCAAAATGACCCACCCTCAGGATAACATTAGTACATCTGTGTTCTCATTGAACTGTAACTCCTCTAAAGGGAAGAGCAAACGGGATTACATCCACCTCACAGATGAGAAAACTGAGTCAGGAAAGCCCGAAACCTCACAGTTGGTCAGGATTAAAAACAAGAACCACACACACAAAAACCAAAAAACAACTAAGGGACATTATCATTTCCACTTAGCAGCGGCGGAAACAATCTGAGAGGTCCAGGAAGTTGCCTGCAGTGTCTGAACTGGGATTTGAATCCAGTTTGGTCAGTGTCCAAAGCCTTTGTGTTTTCTGCTGTGTCCCCATTACCCAGCTCACTAGTCCTTGCTCCAAATGCCAGAGCTGAGGATTGTTAGAAGGACACTCCCCCACCACCTTCCTGGGGAAAGCTGTTGGTTCCTCTGTTCCAGCATGCGCTGTTCTCAAGGGAGAGGAAGAGCAAGCATTTCCAAGCCTCTGGCCCTGCTCCTGTTCCCTATCTTTGGGACTTTCGAATGCTGTCTCCCCTTGGGAACGCTGCCCACTCCCACTGGGGTTAAGGCTTCCTCTCTCTCCTGGGCAAGCTTCTGCACACAGCCTTTCCTGAAAGCAACCTGTGCTGTCAATCAGATGCTTTGCTGGGAAACAGGAACCGTTATATCATGTACATATGCTTTTCAAATTTTATAACCAAACCTGATTAATGGTCAGAGCTTGCATATCTTATTTACCATTCTGTGAAAACAAACTTTATTATTTATTTATAGAGGGGCACAGAGGCATTTTCCCCTGTTGTTTGTTCTTGCTTTCTTATTTGCTGTTGAACTACTACAGATCACAAACCAGGAGCATGTTGCTAATTCCATTACAAAAGCAAGCAGCAGTGGGAGTCCTTGCACTTTTAAAAAATGCCAGGCTGAGGAGGGCTGGAAACTTGTCCAGCGTGTCCTCAAAGCGCAAGTCCTTGTAGGCTGTGTTGACTAATGACCCCTTTCTTTCGGGAAGCGCCTGATTCGTCATGGTGGTGATGCCCTGTTCCATCTGTTCCACCTCCAGTGAGGCTGACAGCTCTCATTTCGTTCCTGTTCTCGCTTGTTCCCTTCTTATTTGCAGACTGTTCTTACCCTGTGTTTAAGCTCTGAATATTTGTCTTTTTAAAAGTTATTATAATGAAACTATCACTTATAAAATCATGACTAAGTATATTTTTCAAACTATTTGCTTATCACAGCCATTTAAAGTGACTGTTACATAGTTTTGCCTTCGTTCTGCCCCAAATCTTCACTGTCATGGAACAGTTAATCCCATTTAAATGTTTACAAAAGATGCATTCTTCTAGAAAGTTTGCAAATTATTTTGGGGGCTCCAAAGATAAACCCTAAGGACAATAAACTAACTTCAGTTTCCAGAAACAAACCAACGTCCAAAAACTATGAGTGCAGCAACCCCCACCCTTCAAAAAAAACCCTTTATCTCGGTCAACTTTCTTAAAAATCTAGCAAACATTCCTTCTGTTCACTTGAAATGCAGTTATGCATGATCTGATACGTTCTGAAATCTTTACTCAGTGGAGCTAGAGTTCACAATAAAGTTAAACTGCTCAACATCTGCAAGCAGAAAAGATTCATGTATAATATTTGTTCTCTTTGTCATAGTGGTTTAGAAAGACGTGAGAGAACAACTGAAGTCCAACCCCTTTCCTTGCCTCTCTCCTGGCCCCGTCTTTCCAGGAACTTCCACAACTTACAGAACCTTAGCCTGGCTTACTGCCGAAAGTTCACGGACAAAGGTTTACAGTACCTGAACTTGGGGAAAGGATGCCACAAGCTCATCTACCTGGACCTTTCCGGCTGCACCCAGGTTTGCCTCTCAGTGTCCCCTTCCCTGCAGCAGGCGAGCGTGTCCTCTGGAGGCCGGGCTGCCTGCAGCCCTCATGTTCCACAAATGCTGTGCACAGCCGCCCGCAGCAGCACGCTTTGCAGAGGTTTTAAGTTACACGGCTGGCCACGGCCGCCTCAGCTCTCCTCAGGGTTGCTACTATAGGCTCCTGGCTTCCCTCCACCGGGTGTCACATCCACAAGCAGCCAGAGCTCATTGGAGGAGACGCTGCGCTTCGGTGGGGACGCTCCCAGCATAATTCTGAGACCAGAATCCAAATCTTGAAAACTTTACGGTTGTTACTAAGATACGGACAAAGGAGGAGAATGACTCCTGAAAAATCAATTTGCTCTCACATTTAAAAAGCACGCTTAAGTGATAAAAGTGAGAAAGCAAATATGCACAATTGGGACTTGTTTTTAAAACTGCAGAGTTCTTGGGCTAAATACCATGAAGATTTAAGCTGGAGGGATCAGGACCAGGAAAGCTGGGCAGAAAGCAGGGTACAGCTGTGTTAGGGCGTGGGGCACTGGAAGGAGTTACTGATAGCTTCTCCTCTAATGTTGAAAGATCCACGTCATAATTCTTTTAACTTGGTCTCTTCCACCTCTTGGTGTATTTTATTGATATCCACGTCACAGCATGTTCCTTATTTAAAAGGATAATGTAACAGCACAGGTGAGAACTTGCTGAACTGTTGGCAGTGAGCATTTATGGAGCCATTACCACATGCCAGCGCTGGGCTGAGTGTGCTGCACAGATGGGCTTGTGATGCAGCCTGCATGCATTTCTGATGGCCACCAGCGAATGAGTAAATTGCCCAGTTTACACTGCTGGTGGAGCGCATGCTATCGATAGTGACCAGCACCTGTTGGTGGCTACCAAGGCAGGCAGGAGGACCGGGGAACACAGCTGTGGGGCAGTGTGAGCTTGTCCTCTGAATTCGAGTTCTTACCTCCTCACCTGGTCTAGTTCCTTGCTTGTCAAGAGACAAATACCCAACACCCAGAACTCTCCGAGCAGAAGTTTATTTTGACTCATAGTTTGTAGAGGTTTCAGTCCATTGTCATCTGGCTCCAAGGCAGACTGGCACGGCAGAGGGGCACAAGAGAGAAGAGCTGCTCAGGGCAGGGCGAACGGGAAGCAGACAGGAAGGGAGGAGCACAGGAGGAAGATAAACCCCTCCGGGCCATGCCCCACCTGCTAACACAAGCCAGCTGTCAGCCCCGCAATTCTGTCACCTTCCAAAGGCCCAGCCTGTGGGTTCATGTGTTTGGGGCACATCTGTTTGTAAAACAAAGCACCACCCTGCTGCCAGACCACAGCTTCCCAATGCCGGAGGGTGCAGAGGAGGGAGAAAAAAAAAGTCCTTAAGCCAGGACTGAAAACGCTTGGACTTGACAGGTCTTTAAAACTGGCTTACTAATGTGTAGCTTGCTAAGTAGCAACATCTAGCAGGCTTTATGACAGCCTTTACATTCCCCTCCCTCAGCTTGGCTGAACTTTGGACAGACTTCTTCCCCACTAGGCCCCTGACCTGCCTTTTCTTACAGCATTAACTTTAGAAAACTTGGAATTGTACATTCTTTCTCTGCCTCCCTGGAGATGTAAATCTTTTTTAAAATGTAGTTTTAAAGCCCAAAACTGTTTCCTCAAGGACTCGGGAACTATCCCTTTGATGTGTAATCATCAAAGAAGGTGGCCCCATGTCTCCCGGCTCCTGGTTGGGGATAAATTAAAGTGCTTAATATTAGTGCAGATCTCACTGAGCAACTTTGCTACCCATTCCCTGGGGTGCTTGATAACTGTCCCCTGGTGTGACTTACCTCCGTGTGTTCTTCGGTTTCCAAGAGGTAATTATTGTAGCAGTACACACACACACACACACACACACACACACACCCCAATGTGAGCTTTCCATCGCTGTGACAAAATGCCTGAAAAAGTCAGGTTTAAGGAAGAAAGTACAGCTGGCTGTGGTGGCACACACCTGTAATCCCAGCACTCGGGGCAATTTAGGGACTTAGCAAGACCCTGTCTCAAAATTTTAAAAAGGCGGGCTGGGGATGTGGCTGGAAAGGCTTCGGGTTCACTCCCCAGTGCTGGAGGAAAGACTTAGTTCACAGCTTGGCCTGTCATTTCTGTGGGGAAGCAGCGCCCCATAGCAGGGAGCGTGTGGCAGAGCAAACAGCTCCCCTCATGGCAGGCAGGAAGCAGAGGCAGGGAGAGGGGTGACAGGCCCGATACCGCTTTCAGGGGACCCTGTGACTTCTTCCAAGAAGCCTCACTTAAAGGTTCTCCTCTCTCTCCCCCTTCATCCTTATAATAAATATTTTTCAGACACAGTAAAGTCTAAATCAAAACTTTAACATCTGTGATCTATCATAGTCCAAATGTACATGCATGTTTTGTCTTTAAAGTTTGAGCCAATATTTAATACTTTAGAATTTTTACCAAAAAAAAAAAAAAAAAACCATAGATTTTTCTTTGGAGAACATGGGAAGAACGAGCTGAATTTGGCCTGCATGTCTGTGTGACAGCAATCAGCACAGCCGAGTCAGCCTCACCCCCAAAGGTGGAGCTCTCCTGCTCTATCCACAGCCCCCCACAGGAGGTGACACCCAGGCCAGCCTTCACCTGCAGTGCCAGCCCTCAGTCAGTGTGTTCAGTGTGAGTGTGAAAAGGAGCATACTTTTCCTAACTGTCCTTTAATTTGTAAATCTCTAACCACAATAGGGTCAGCATCTCACATCTCTGTGTGGAGTGGCCTCAGTTCCCTTCATCCCTCCCTCTTCCCTGTGCCTGGTAATTCAGTAGACTTTGCTGTGCAGCTCAGGCACCAGTTCAGACTGTGGCAAGGAGGCGGGCTCCTTCTGAACCGCAGGTCTCAGGCATGCGGTGCATGGGCTGCTGCTCCTGCGGTGAGGAGGCCCTGTTTACCTCTGATTTCAAACCAGGAATCTGATGACTCACAAGTTTTAATATTTTCTGCTGTAAAGAAGAGGCTCTATTTTAGAAGCCTGAATCTATTTTTGAAGCTTGAATTTCATATTAGGAAATCATGTATTAATATATCCAGCCAAGGACCAAGCTCCTGATAAGACAGAGACAAGGCAGTGATGGGGAAGCAGCTCTTTCAAATATTCTTATCAAACCATCAGAACCAATAAGAGCTCTGACAGTGACTATTCTCAGTGACAGAAATTGAGAGACACAGAAATTTTGAGTTTCCTCTGTAGTATTGTGCAGGAGATAAAAATTCTCAAGGAAAGAAACAAATAAGAGCCTCTATTTTATTCTATACTGGATTTGTTTTCTTTTGTTTTGTTCACTGTGGAGCTCAGGCACCCACAGCAGATGTAACCATACTCTCCGGCGCTTAACCGGGTCCACATAAACAAAAACTGCCAAGGGGGAAACTTAAGGGAAGAGTTTATTTATACCACGCTGTGAAAGAATTTCAACCATACTTGTTAGAAAAAGTAAAGAGATGGTGGAGAATTACAATGAAAAATGAAAATCAACTATGTGTGTCTCAGAAACAGACTCCATGCTTTAGGAACTGGGAAAACACCTTAGGTTCAGCGAGCAATGGAACAGGTTTTCCATGACCGTCAGGGCAGTGCATGCACCTGTGCGTCGCCCAGTGTCCATGGCAGGGTGGGACAGCAGTGCTGTGCTCAGTTTCCCCTCCGTCATGCTCAGCTCACACTCAGCACTGCCCATGAGTTCGTTGTTCCCCAGAGCAAACCCTAGCTTATCCTCGTCACTGTGGAGGGTGATCTTCTTTTAGCTTAAAAAAGAAAACTTCACCTTTTTCTTGTGTTACATGGTGAATATATGCAAATTTGAAAACATTCTCAAGCAAAAAAAATTAAAATTAAATTAAAATTGCTTGAAATTCCGCCACACAGAAATAATAAGTGTTATTACTAACTCAGGGAATGGCTTTTTGATCTTTTCCCTATGTGTGTGTATAGGTCTCTTACATTCACCCAGATTATATGATATATGTGCCTTTCCTCTAATATTTGACAAAGTGTATGTCTTCCTATTTCATTAAATATTTTTCTATAACTTACAGTTAGTAGCTTTATGGTATTTTATTCTACCAGAATATCAGTATTTATTTAATCATTCATTTTTAGCCTACCAAATTTTATAATCATAAATACCTGAGATGAAAATTCATTTATGATCATATCTTTGTACACATACAAGTTTTTGGTATACCTTTTTAGAAATGAAACGGAGGATACAGTTAAGGACTCTTTTCCTCTGCAGAAATTAGCAATAAGCATTTAAGTCAGCTTAGATTCTCTTCTGCAGTAAGTAGGTTTTCTTAAATTTCCTTCTTTCAAATATTCTTATCAAACCGTCAGAACTAATAAGAGCTCTGACAGTGACTATTCTCAGTGACAGGAATTGAGAGACACAGAAATTTTGAGTTTCCTCTGTAGTATTGTGCAGGAGATAAAAATTCTCAAGGAAAGAAACAAATAAGAGCTTCTATTTTATTCTATACTGGATTTGTTTTCTTTTGTTTTGTTCACTGTGGAGCTCAGGCACCCACAGCAGATGTAACCATACTCTCCGGCGCTTAGAACTTTCCCCATCTGCCTGTGCAAGGCTCCCCTCTGTCTGGTTTATTCCCTTATCCACACTTCCCACTCCCTTTCTCCTCACCCTTTCAAAGCAGCCTCTTCACCTAAATCTCTGCCCCTTCTCCTATTTTTCTCTTATGGCTCTGTGTGTGCACGTTTTAATCCTTATAAATGATATTGTGCTACAGATCTTGCTTGTTTCTGGCAGTATCTCTAAAAGTCACTTCCACTCCCTTCCGACCTCGTATTTATAATATATACATATGAACTTTCACATACATTTCTCCAGACATATGTATAATACACATATATGAGTTTTATTATGTATGAAATACATATTTGTATGAAAAGTATCTCCAATCCACACTTTTCAAATTT